AGTAAGGGTCCCTTTCTTTTTGGGATCAGAATTCTTTTTACTTTTTCTCAAATCTTGAGATCATCATAGCCAGATAGTTGACTGAGTTTTCACTAAATTTTCTACCTCTTGGGAGATTGGGACCAACCTGGAACGTGCGTGTTTTGGGGAGACTGTATGCGGAAGGGTTAGCTGACTCAGAAATGTCTCCAGTTCAAGATTCAACATTTAGTGATAGTTTATTTTATTGTATTTGGGTATCACACAGTGTACAAAGTAAAGTCGCACCTCTAGTTCTGTGTTTGATATAGCTCCATTGCCAGCAGCTACAGAAAAAAAAAAAAAAAAAAAGCAGATATACTAGAAGGAAGTAAAGTATATCCTCACTCCCTTCTAGTAAGGAAGGGCTACATTGTTGCATTCTCAAATATGTAGTCTCATCACATACTTCTATTGACTCCTTTTGGGGAAGAATATAGATAATTTCCTCTAAGACTGAAATCTCCAGTGTGGGCAGCAGTGTGAGCAATGGGGAAAGGAATGTCAAACTGTTGGTGTAGCTAGGGACTGGCTAGCAACAATCATAGCTTATATATTTATTGTGCTTTACAATTTCAAAGCACTTAAAATGCATTTGATTATTTTAGTTTTTAGTATAAAGGTAGATTCCTCTTTAAAATGTTTAAGAAGTTGTTACATTTGTTGAAAAAATCTGGCTCTTGCTTGAAATTCATTTGTGATAGAAATTTGGAGCAGCTAAAATAGTAACTGATGCTAATAGTACAAAAGTGAATACTTCGATTAAATCTCAGCCAGAACACTTTGGTAAAGTTATTATTTAACCTTGTTTAAAAACTTTTCTAATATGTATCTGCCAGTTTTCTTTTTAAAAATAAAACTTAATCTTTTGTAGGTGATTCAATATATTGGATTGCCTTGACATCATATAGAACAACAATTTTCATTGCACACAGCTATAGATATAGAAGTGTAACTGTAACAGTTTACAAACTGTTCATATGTCAGATTATTTTGTGGTCATGTAATTATGTCTTTTGAAATTATTATGTAGCCAATTTTCCAATTAATGAAATATTTCCACTAGTTGGAGTTGTGTTACCACTGTATTTTAAGGACTATGAATAAAAATGATAACTATTTTTGCTTTCTTGCCTCCCCCCTCCCTCCGTCTCTCCTATGTTTCTTCCTCCCTTTCTTTGTGTCTTCTTTCATTTTTTTGTGCCTGTGTATGTGATGGATATGTTAGCCTCAGAATTACTTGAGAGCCAGTATGGGCAAGAAAAGGTGTGTGACAATTAAAATCCTGATATTGAATGTCTGAAAGTAGCTGGGAGAAAATGAAGTATCCTCTGAAGAAAGTTGTTTTGGTAGTTCCAACAGTGAAGAAGATCTGTTGATGTTTCTTCCTGGATCATTGCGATTCTGAACAAGGACTGAGGGGAAAGATGATCGTGCTGGTAAATACCCTGCTTATACCAGAAAAGAACTGAATTGAGGGCTGCTCCACGCACATAAAGGGCTGTAACAATCAAAGGCTTCCCGAGGAGCCAGACTTGCTGTTCTCTTTCTGAACTTTGGTCCTTTTCTGATAGTACATATTTCCCATTTCTCCTTTTTATTCCTCTTGCCTACCAATGCACTTGCATCCCCCAATACAATGTTCCCCGCAAACCCCACATCCAGCCAGCCCATAGTCTTCTTACAGCTCTCTTTCTCACTCTCACCATCGCACCCCGCCCCCCACCCCGCGACCGCCCACCACACACACACACAGTCACATTTCGAGTTCAGATTCAGAGTTAAGTCTTATCCCGGGTTGAGGCCTCTAGAACTTGACTTCTCAGGCTTCTTGATGGGGTATAATAGTTTTACATCATGAGGAAATACTTCACTATTGCACATCATGGGCAATCTTGGAACTAATAATACATATGACATTAGAGGTTATGATGAAGGAGAAGGAAAGTGGGTTTTGGAGTCAGCCAGAGCTGAGTGTCACTTCCAAACTCACACGTTGCTAGTTGTGTGACTTTAGACACTTCTCTGTGCCTCAATTTCCTCTTTTGCAAAACAAGGACATCAATGACTCCCTCACAGGGATTTTGGGATAATTACATAATATAATATAGTCAGAGGGTAAGTGGGTAATATAAAGGAGGTACAGTCATTTGTTTTGTTTTGCTTTTCTTTTTTTAAGAACATTTACAATAAAGTTACAGTAATCTACTATGTTAGTAAGATGAAATGTTATTGCTTAAATTTGGAAAAAATCTCAATTGATTTGACCATGATACTTGTTTAATCTTATTTTTTCAGTGGAGGATGAATTCCAGACAAATTATCTTTGCGTTACAAGAAGTTACACCCTGTTTGTAACAGATCAACCACGAATTTGACCAGAAATAGTTGCAGTTGTATTGAGAAAGAATCTAGTTAGTTCCTCTGCTATGAAAATATATCCATGGAAAATATATACTGTCTTTATTTATGCCCATTTATAAAAAAAGTACTTTAAATAGTTTTCTAATTTTAAGAAGACTCAAGACAAAATTACATTTTAATTACTAGTTAATAGTACTCATTTCATTTCTATGATTCTCATATATATACTTATTCCTTGAAATCATGCATGTACATTTTCATGGACACTATCACATATCATGAATGAAGAAATAAAATTTATTTATGTGTCTGACTTGTAGAATTAGTCAAAAACTTTTAACTGATATTTATTTATATACAAAATATTTATTATTATATTGAGTGAAGAACCTTTTAATTCTCATAACTACCTTGCAAAAGAGATGATGCCACTTCCATTTTGCAGATGTGGGATGGAGGCTCTGAGAGATCAAACAATGTGCCCAAGGTCACACAAGCTGCAACTAGTTAGTAGAGGAATTGAGACATTAACACAAGCTGTCTAATGCTAGCACCAGTGCACTTTCCATTTTCTTTACTGTCTCCTTTTGTGAAGATGAATATCTATTCTTGTTATTAGCTGTATATATATATTCTTTTTCTTCCCAGTGTTATTTATTTCAATATTTTAATAACCACTAATGTGAACAGCTTTTAATTCAATAACATTAGAGAAGCAGAGTTAAATTTGTCTCCTCTGAGAGCTTATACATTTTTACTTTTGAGAAAAGCAGGGTTGGGATAACTTCCAAAGGACACAGTCACTAATGAGGACTCAGAGACATCACCTTGCAGTAAACAAAGTGTGAAATCTTCCCTTGTCTGGAACTACAGTGATCATCTCCAGTCCTCCTCTTTCTTGTTGCACATGAGAAATGGGGACCCAGAGAAGTTAAGTGACTCACCAGTGGTTAAGCAACTGCTACTAGAACCTAAATCTGAGGATAGTAATGAGGCCTTCACTTAATTGTGAAGCCGAATTTGGAGAATAAGGCAGGAGCTCGGATCAGACATTAACAGATTTATGTTGCTGCACTCTCTCGATTCTTCAAATCAATAATTTACTGACCATCTGTTGATGAGGTAAACTATCAACAGTTTACCCATTACGGAGACAGAATCAGAGTAGAAAGTTAACACCTTCTGTGACTAGTGTAGGAACTTTACCATAGGTTGATAAAGAGTTTTTGCTCAAATTTGAGAAGGCTGCTGGTTTGAATACTATATGATTCTATAGTCTTAAGGATCTGTTACTGGTGGGTGGAGAATTACAGTTAAAATTGATGTTTTTTTTTCTTCATTTATATTTCATCCAGTGTATGAAGATGAATGTTAGCTTTTATTTCTTTTTCCTTTGTAATAATTCTACTTTTATTTAAGTTTTGCATCAAGGATTTAGACCTTCTGCCATTGTCAGAAGGACCACAGGGTAATAACTTTGAGTCAAACACATGGGAAGACCAGATAGTAATTTGCCACCATTGTCATGTCCTGGTTTACTTAACCCTTTTTCCAGCATTGCCTATGCAGGTGTAGACCTTCCCAGTGAGCGCTTGCTGAATAAATGGAAACATGAGAAACATAGAAAGATGTGCAAAAATAATTTGGCTACTTATACTTTACTGGGTAACACTCAGAAGAAAGATGGTATATGAAATCATCCGAAAGGTCTCAAACCTGGGGACATATTTCTACCTAACATCATTCTGTAGGATAAAGTTTGTTTCTTCTTGGTAATATATGTTTTAGCTGAAAATGGAATTAGAATTATTTTATACATTGGGAATAGATCTAGTGAGTTGAAACACTTATCTCATAGGGACAAGAAAGAAACACCAGAATAAGAAACAGGAATAAATCACTTAAAAGGTTTGTATCTTGGAAGAGGAAGAGAGAAGTGGAAAATCAATTAAGCCAAGCAGACTACATGAACTGTACAATTGGTAGAGAAAGGGTGCCCGGAAATAGGCAGCCAGAAGCCAGAGCCATTGCAAATTCTTCAGAAAGCAGTGATCTTGAGAGGGCTAGGAATCACGGTGGGCAGAGCAGCCGTGCATCCTTCCATGACAACAGGAAGGTTAAGGTGGGTCATGAAATTCTGTGCTGCATGCTCAGAGGTACCTCCTCCTACAAGGGGTGGGCTGTGTCCTCTGTGAAACACTGGTGAGGCCTTCAGCTAGGGTGACTTCAGTCCCCTAAAGAGATCCACAGACAGAAAATATAGAGAAGAAAAGACTAAATGTTGAAGATTCAGGGGGATCTGACATACAAGAAATGATGCTCATTTCTAAGCAATGAAGGGGGAGCAGTAAAATCAGTTAGTGAGGCCCATGTGTCTATAATTAGAATGTAGATTAAAATAAGAAAGTGGAATAAATATCTCCTAGTACCCTATAAGTAAATCTCCATAGGCTCAGATAAAGGTGGATTCAAAAAACAAATATTACTGAGAAATGTAATATATTCTGAATTGAATAGGAACCAGGTTCTCTGAGTTAGCAGAATTCTCTTTCTTAATTCATGAGTCTCTAAGAATAAGAATTTCTCAATAAAACAAACAATAAAACAAAGGGAACAAAATTTTAAAAACTATTAACAAATATATTTATTGTGGTGGCTTTCTCCCCTACTAGATATACCTTGTTAGAAAGTAGTATCCCTTTTAGTTCCAGGTGGACAATTAAGCAGGTAATAAAATTGTTTTTCCCTCATTCAGAAAGAAAACACATTACTTTGCAAACATGTTATATTCTCCTTGCTCTATTTTTTGTTTTCTATAAAATCAGAATTTTCTTCTAATAAGTATGATTTTGTTTTTGGAAGTAAGTTACAGGCACATGTTTACAGGTTGATATTATATAATCCAAGGGGTAACAGAGGCTGAACCACATAGTGCTAACATAGATTGGAGACCTGTTCCAGGTGACCACAATCCTTCACAGTTTTGTAAAGCACAAAAGTAGTCTCCAGCTCTATGATTTCTTCCACATTTTGTCTTTCTCCAATCCCATATGGTATATTCAATTCTGGTATGCACTCTTGTGTTTCTCACAAAAATACATGATGAGGGTGATGGAACTAATCTTAAAACAGTTGTTTCTGTGATGATAAATCCTATGATTCCAAATGCCAGGCCCTAATTCTGAGCATTCTCTAGCTCTCCCGGTCAAAACAACACTGTCCTTTGAAGGATGTTTCTCTTCCCTGATCTCCTATTTGTTTTGAAGGGATAGTGTGTCTTTGAATTTGCAGAATTATCTTTTGCTTCTTAAAACAACAGCTTGAAAACACATTTTTATAAGGAAAAGATGTTTCTTCTCCAGATGTCATCATTACGCTGTTACATCTTATAGCCTATTGATAATATGTACAAAAATTTCTTGTCTTCTAAAAATGCAGAGAAGCACATAAGACAACCATCTGAAAGTATCCCTTCTTTGAACTTTTGGCTCTTTGTTGTTAACTATGCTTGTATGAAGAATATAGCAACTACTGGGAATGTTGTTTAGACAGAGCAATAACTGACACGTCCATTTGTGGTCCTAATGGCTAGAGCACCTGTCCTGGGCATCTGGTTGAGATAGCAGCATCATGAGTCTACAATAATCTCATGGAACCCTCTAGTGTACAGTGCTGACTGATACCGATTTCTGTTGTTTATCTTGGACTTTTCGCTTCTTCTGCTGCTGTTTGTTTTCTCGTTGCTCTGGGGTTTCTTTGCTGGATTCCAGACCTTTGCTGTCAGGTATTGCTTCTTTACTTTCTCCTTTATTAGGTTTTTTTCTTTTCCTCTCCCTTCCTTTTTTTCCTGAAATGAAAGGAGAGACTTTTAAAAATTACATTCAATTATGTTCTATTTTTAAAAAAATTTTAAAAAAAGACTTAAATTTCTCTTAGATTATATATCATAATGATAGATGTTAAATATCTACTATTTAAATAATTCAACCATTATTAAGTCCGTGGTGTATTCCAAACAATGTAAATGTGAAGCACATATATGATATAATAAGGCAACTAACATATGACAGTTTGAAATCCAAATAGTTTTGTTCTTCTAAGTTTGGAACTTACTTTACATGATAGTTATTTATGCATGTTTCATGGAAAGTTTTAGACAGATTTCTTGCTGTTGAAAACATTTATTAAAATGTATATTTTGGTCGGGCATGGTGGCTTAACCCTGTAATCCCAGGTCTTTGGGAGAGTGAGGTGGGAGGATTGCTTGAGCCCAAGAGTTCAAGACCAGTCTGGGAAACATGGTGAGACCTTATCTTTACAAAAAATTTAAAAAATCACTGAGGCATGGTGGTGGATGCCCGTGTCCCAGCTATGCAGAAGGTTGAGGTAGGAGAATTGCTTGAGCCTGGGAAGTCAAGGCCACAGTGAGAGTGAGCCCTGATAGTGCCACTGCACTCCAGCCTGAGCAAGAGAGGGAGATTCTATCTCAAAAAAAAAAAAAAAAAAAAAAAAAAGGAGAAATTTTTTAATCTGGCTCCTATTTTTAAGGCACCATTTTGTATTTAATTTTTTTCCAAGTAGCAGTTACATAGTTATAATTTGTCAAGATATTTGCCTGCTATCTAAGAGAAGAGAACTTATTTGCATAACAAATGCAGAAATAATAATTTAGGATGAATAACAAGATGATTGTATTTTAACACAAATATTTGTATGTTGAAATTAATTTGGATTGTAATTTCTCTACTTGCAGGGTGATGATGACTATAACTGATCAATAACCCTCTGGTACAAGCTACCAGGGCAGGTTGAGTCTCTCTATCCAGTAAATGAGTAGATATTTATTGCATGTATACTGGATTTCATGCAGGCCCCTGACCTGGAGCTGGGTTTGAAGCATAGAATTAACTGAGATTCACATTATGAGAGGAGAAATTTTTAAAAGTGGAATCAACATGACTTTAAAGGTTTGGATGTGAAAAGGTATTATTGTAGCTAACAGGGAGCCACTTGAAGAACTGGATTTTATTCTGTCAGCATTGGAGAACTGCTGGGAGTTTTAAAAGAAGAGAATAATTTGATCAAAGTAGATAAACTTGGCACTAAATTGGATGATTACTTTTATTTATTTCTAAATAGTGAATTAATTGGATGCTTTGTTATCGTGTACACCTTTTATATATGCAGTCTACAGTGTAGTCCGAGGGCGTGGTTTTAGTAACATCCATAAACAAATATATCCCAATGAGAAATTACTTAGATTCAAATCAATATTATAGTAAACAAAAACTAGGAATCAACTATTCCCTGAGGTATGACAAATTCTGAATATGGATCCCACATACTGGGCCATTTAAAATTTGAAATTAGACTTTCTAAAATAAGTCACTTTTGACAAAAATATTTTGAAGAAATTGTTTGCAAGAGAGAACCAAAATATTTTCATGTCCCAAAGTAGGCTGCAAATATTGAATTCAGTGGTTTGGCTTTCCTTTTCTTGGGCTCTGGTTACAGAATCCTAGGGAGTGGTATTATTAATACCGCATAGGTATACAACGCCAATACGGTCTCGTTGGATTAATGATTTTATGCCACATCTAGCTTTGTCATGAGATTGTATTTATAAAACCTTCCAGTTACATTATGAAAGCTTTCCTTGTTGGGTTTAGCACAATATACCTTCAAATTCTGAAATCTAAAAGGACAATTAACAAAAATCAGAATTCATCCAAGGGTGAAGCAAATTGTTTCAGACATACAGAAAGGAACAAACAACATTAGAGTCAACTATTAGGCCTAAGCCGAACTACTTATATTCTGATTACTCGATTCCATTATTCTTTTCACTGAAAAGAATTTTGCTGGGTTGATAAGATTTCTACAGAAGGGTTCAGGGCCTTCTTTCCATGACGGATTTAATGAGTACACATTTGATGTGCTGACTTGAATATAATAACCAAACAGGGAAAACTGAAGAGTAAGTTTACCTTTCTGAACACGTAGCATAATTTAAATTTTATAAAACTGTACAAACAGAAAGGGAAAAATACTAGTTTTCATGCTATGTGCTTAGTTTTCAGAAGGAGATGGCTGCAAAGGTTGGATTACATAATATTTCCATATTGAGGAGCATTTTGGAGGTGTTTGAGTTCAACTTGAAAAAATTGTCAGCGAAAACCATTCCAAAGTTCCATAAAAACTACTGACCCCAAGCAAAATGTTATTTTTATGGAAATCATCCAGAAGTTCAGTGTTTGACATTATTCTCTTGATGACGGTCCAACATCTTACAGCTGTGATCCCAACCATAATGTTTTGGACACATAAGAAATGTATTGTTTCTTCCTTGGTCACAGATTGATTTATATGTTTTTTAGTCACTTGTGACAACATCCTCAACTGGCAGTGCATTTCTGCTTATTAACAAACTGCTATGATTATTTCTTAAGACAGGCCTAAACATTTTTGGAAGTAGATTGAAACTCGGTATTATAACTTTATATCCAAGGAATAACTAGTCTGGGCAGTGAGTGAAAGGGAAGGCTCTAGTAAAGGAACAGGAAACTAACACATTGTACATTATTGCTGCTCAACAGAGGGCTATTGCACAACAGAAAAATGGGGTTATTTTTTTTACAGGCCATGTGTTAGTGGTTGGAAACGCTAACTACCCTTTGCATAAATATATTTTCTTCTTGTCCAAGAAATAAAATAGAAATACAGAAGAGTGGCTATAGTCCATTAAAAATCACGCGTAATTTGGGATAATTTTGTAAGGTTTTCATTAAAGGGGACTTCCTTTTTTATTCTGGTGACTTTTCATTGATGTGGTTAATATATTTTTCAACCTTTTTTTTGGTAATTTTGCAAACTAAGCATTCCAGTTATGACAATCTGACATATATATACGTGTGTGTGTATATATATACATATATACGCACACATATATGTATATATATACACACACGTATATATATACACACACGTGTGTGTATATATACACACACGTGTGTGTGTGTGTATATACATATACACGTGTGCTTTGCCATTCATTCAATATTCATGTATGTGTGCACGTGTACATGCACGTACATGCCTGAACTGGGTTTTGGAACATTCTAGTGATTAAAACAGCATTCATCTCCCCTTGATGTTCTAGCTATGAGGGTGTTTGGGTAGAAATATCAAAGAGAACTTGCTATTAGCAGTCAATTACAATCTGAGCCCTTGCAGAGAAGCACTATGGTGTCACATTTAAGAACACTGTCCTTAGGGTCAGAAAAACGCTGTTTTCAAATTCTAGGTCTGCCACCAACTAGTTGTGTGACCTCTGGCAAGTTGTTAATATTTCTTAGGATTAACTCTCTGTTATATCTAAAATGTGAATCATCCTTACTTCTTGCTAAACTTCGTAAGGATTAAATGAGATGCTGGTAGAACACTTAGCATGGTGCCTGGCATATGTTACTCATGGGACAAATGACAACTAATATTATTAACCACTTGCACAAACATGAACAAAGACCCTAAAATGTGTGCCAAAAATGTGTGATAAAACCTGGGCATATAAGTGAGATATGGAGACTGCCAATAATCATAGTCACATGCCAATGCTAAAATAGAGGTGTGTACAAGGTCCTGTTGGGGATACAGTGGGAAAGCATTGAACTCCATGAAGAGAGACTGAAAATGATTTCAGAGACTGAAAATAACTCCCCTGATGTAATGATGTTTGAGGTGAGCCTAAAAGAATGACTGAGAGTTTACTAGGCTGATGAGGGAAGAAGTGCCTGCCAGGCAGTGAACATGCACTAAGGCATGCAAGGACATGGTGAATCTGGGGCATTGAAAGTCGACTTCCTTGGTTTGATCAGAGTCTATATATAGACTATTACCCAGAGAAGCTGGAAAGATATACGGGCTTCAATTGCCATGTTGGGAGTTTGTCCTGAGGACCAGCGTACTGAAAACTAGAGAAGGGCAAGTATCGAATTCAGATAGCAGGCCAGAGTTTGGATGTTTTTGTGATGAGTTTAGAAAAGGCCAATAGGCTATTCTGACATGTGACCTTATTTCCTATTTCAGAAAATTGCTGTAAGTAATAAGATGCCATAGAGGGAATGTAGTCAGTGGTTGGTATTTGTTTTTGAACCTTAATTTTTGAAAGAGTAGCTAAAATCTCCATGTAGTCCAAAAAACCATATTTATTTAAGATTTTGTTGCATACTAGTATCACATAATTGAATATATAATTGATATTTTTAAGATTCTGAAATTATTTTCTGTTAGTATAAACACATACAGTCTTTTACATAAACATTTCCTATGGCCTTCTGCAGACAATGTTCCCAAACATATTTTTTAAAAATACAGATTCCTAGATCCCACCCCTGGAGATTATGATTCAGTTGTTCTTATGAGGGGCTCAAGAACTTGTAATCAATAACAAGTTCACCTCCCCCTGCCAGTTTATTTTGATGTGCAACCACATATAAAGGCCAAAGCTGCAGAGCAATAGAAGATCCAATTTCTTTTAATATATACTCTCAAAACTTACTTCAAATCACATGGTTCCTCCTTTGTTTCTTTCATTTTTCCTAATGAATATCAAATAAGCTTTTGACTTACTGTAGTTACTAATTTTAAGGCAAGTTTTCTTACTAGATACATTTGGAATAGGCACCCAGATATAAATTAAATTAGTTGCAGGTTATCTTTTTAAAATCTGTTCAAGTGCATATATGAACTAGAAAAAATAAACATGTAAAAAATGACAAAGAGAATGATCCTGAATTATTCTTCCTAACTTATATAGTATATATTTAAATTCCAAGTGAAAATGCAAAC